AAATATGACGACGAAAATGACAAGCATAACCTGATATTCATACACAACATCAGTTTAACATAAACTATTAGCTTATGCTGATTACATCCTTGCCAATGACCAGAACAAATTTGAAAATGACAACAACTAATTCATCATTAACAAAAGATAACATCTCTATAATAGTAACTTCCTTTCATGTATTCAATGACAAGTGCACATTAAGATACTGGCCATACTTAATGCTTCCTTGTCACTGACATTTCTATCACCTTACTTACAAAAAAATATCTCCACCTAGCTCCTAACTGCAACCCTAGTCCCAAAAAGTTGACAAGGGTGGAGCATACAACTATGTATACTAAAAACTGACACATCCCTACTGTACTCAAAGCTTCATGATAGGTTAGGATTTCTATAATTCCTTCTTGTGTGTCCAGGTTGGTGACATCTTCCACATAGGTATGTCCGTTTGTTCTGGAACTATAATTCATCCTTGTTTACTTTTGGCCTTCCCGGTGGTTGAGATATAATGGGAGGTAGCAAGAAAATTTGCTCACTGACATTTCTTATCCTATAATAATCATTTGGGTGAGGCATGTCTGTTATCACCATAGGAATCATACTGCGAGCATAAATCTTTTCTTGTGATGACTTTTTATAGCAATTATCAACACAATTATAAGCATTACCATACACAACCTTGATGGCAGCACAAGCATGGCAACAAGGGATCCTCGTTATTTGCCAAGATCTGCAACTACATTGGTGTAGTCCAAGATCAACCGATGGTCTTCACGTGATGTTGTCACCTTTACTCTTTCCCCACTATAATTTTCAGCATACATATGCTCAGACCCAGCCATCATATCCATCACCTTACTGTCTATATTTGGACCAATGCAATTCTTCCATTTGGTCATCGCCATACAGGAGGCATGCAGCTTTGTTGCAACTTTCTCTCGGTGCTCATGGATCAATTAGGGTACAGTATGCTTTCTCTCATTGACCATCCATGCATTGAATGATTCTGCTATATTACTTGTAATATTGTCCCATCTTTTATATGGGAACCTGCTTTTAGCCCACCTATCTACATCCCCATGACTAATAAGCCAATCAAATAGCCTTGGAGAAAAGACTCTCATGTCATCCATTGCTGCCTCAAATTTCTCATCCGTCCTTACATATGCAATTTTATCCAATAAATGTAGTGCATCCTCCTTTGATCGGCCATTTGTTCTTGTTTGCCCCTTATTCATTTTCATAACTTTTGAACTAAAATTCCCCTTGATGTGTCTATAACAAAAGGCATGCCGTTGACCCCCAAAGATTGGTGTCACTCCTTCGATGATAGCATTGTGTCGATATGATACAATCATTACTTCCACATAACCCGGGATTTTTTTATCATATAGAAAAACCACATCCAGTCATATAGTATTTCTCTCTTGACAATTGCAATTGCAAATAGCAGCAGCTCGTTATCTACATCATAAGCTGAAGCTGACAACATTGTCTCCTTGTATGGTCTGCTTAAGTGAGTTCCATCAACATATAGAATGTGTCTTGCGCCACCCAAGAAACGCTCAATGCATGACTCGTAGGCAATGAAAACACGCTCAAACCAGTTCCCAATAGTAGTCCATTCAGCCACAGTTTTTTCATCTGTTTCCTTTAGTCTTTTCTATACCCATGGTATGAGCATGTATGATTGTTCAGGCCTATCATATATGTCTTCCAATGACTTCTCTTTTGCTCTATAAGCTTGTTTATATGTTAGATCAATCCCATACTCTCGTTTTAACTTCTTCCATATCTCATAAGTGTGCTTGTTTGCATGATCCCTCATCTCATCAATTATTATTAATGAGTTCAAACTAGCTCTTCCATTATACATCACGTCCAAGCTACCTTGGGCAGAATGAACATGCCATTTTATAAATATCGTCACTTGTAGCACATCACAACTCTTCCCTACATGATTTGCACATAGCTTCCGTGGACAACATTTAACTTTACATCTCATTGACATGAATTCCTTGTTATTCTCACGTACTTGGGCACAAACTTGTGTGTAAGTGCAAACTTGTGTGCAAGTGCAAACTTGTATGCAGACACCTGAAATACTTCTGCATTAGGAAAACATTAACCCACCCCTGTAAAAAGTCCCCTCCCTTTCACATGAACCATCCCACTACCATCCATGTCTTCAACTCCGATGGATGTATCCACATTAGGGGGCCCACTTCCTGCATCATTGTCACATTCACTAGCATTTTCTTCACTGAACTAGCCAAAATCATAACACAAACTAATGGGAGACGTATCCAGTTCCTTTTGCTGTGACATGCCCATGACTCTCTTTGTTCTGCATTCACAATGACAAGACTCGTTAACACAAATGACAAGATGAAATCATAAATGACAACAAATAGTTAGGACAAACCTCTACTTACATTTCTGCATTGTCCCTTGGTTAGGGATCCCTATGTCCTTTTTCAGCCACATACACATAACTGTTGTTCCCAATGTATTCAAAAAGGTTATACATTTCAGCATTGTCATGAAGGTCAATTAATGTCTTCTCATCAAAGGTCACTGTGTACTTAATGTCATAATTTCTTCCATCACTACCAATCCACTCAGATATCATTAGCCTCAATTCTTCAAGTGTTAGCCCATCCTTAATGCTTCTTAACCTCAAGCTACCTCTATTATATCTCACTTCACTTTCACCATTTGTCACAAATTTCCTTCCCACATGAAAGTAATAGAACAGTTCCTTCTCATAAGGTGACCCAGCTTCGAAATTCATTTTCCTTCATTGCCTGCATTGGTAACAGAAGTTGAATTATTATATGACTTAATACCATCATCATCAACTTACACGACCAGATTAGGGTTTGACATAATCATGCTTATAATTTGCAACAAAACACTCATTTCTTTCCTATCCACAGTAATGCTTCATTTTCTCAGAATCAATCCACTCCATTATTTGAATCCCCCTTCAACATTGTGTCTTTATCTAACACTAATTACTCCGACTCATTTGTGATGCCATTAAACCCCTCTCCCTCAATGTTTTTGCTTCCCCATACATTCACCCTCTGATCATTGTCCTTCCCCATAGTTTCTACATGCCCACATCATCTTCTTGCTTTGCCACCTTCTCTACCTCAAAATCGTCCAAGGGAAAGAGGAAAATCAATTAGCGCATAAAGGAGACCAATAAAAGAGAGAGACGAACAATATAGTCACTGAATACTAACATCACTTGCTTACTTCGTTCAGCTCTTGCTTCTCTTGTTCATGTACCCACATTCATGGTCCCACCAAAGTTTTTCCTCCAGCTCCCACCACAACTTTCACACCTCCTGCGGTCATTTTCTGTATTTGGCTCATGAAGGGCTTTTTGGTAATTGTCCAACATTTGCATAATCCCAAATCAGATAACACTTTCCTATCTAGTAATACATTTGCTTAGCTTCCCATTTTGGCATTTCCCATTTTGAGGCTTCTTTATGTGACATTTTTCCTTTTATTTATAATTAAAATATACTAACTACCTTTCTATTTTATTTTAATTACACAAACCTCTTATGTCCTTCGAAAACTTATATAAGTCTTTCTCAAAATTAAAATGTATATTACACAAACATCTCTCCTGTATTTAAGAATCCATTTCTATCCACTTCAATAGTTAGTTCGCTGTTAAATGTGATTTTAAATTATTTTTGACCAAAACAGTCCCTTTAACTTAATAATTATTTAGAAATTTATATTTTCCAAAAGATTTTTTTATAAAATCAAAAAATACTTCTAATACATATATTTTAAAAATTTCTAATATGCTATAAAATTTTTTAATTTTGATTTAAATCATGAAATTTTATAATTTTAATTTTTTATCACATTCATTAGAAATTATTTACTTTGATTTTTTTAAATTGTAAAAACACATTTCAAAATACATAGTTTTTGTTTATCATAAAGTTTAAATGATATAAGTTCAAAAGATTTTATAAATTCCATAAAAAAAAGATTTTATAAATTATTTAAATTTATATTTTAAAACTTTTAAACACATTTTTGTTATGAAAATTCATAAGCATATTCAGTCAAGTATATATATTTATTGAAATATTACTTAAATTTTTAATCAAGTCTTTTATATTTACCTTAATTGAATAAAATTCGTGTAACTGTGAAAATACAAGTTAGGAATTTATTAGAATGAGGAGTAAAATAGTAAATAAAATTTATTATATTATAAATTTCAATTAAAAATAATATTTTTAATTTTTTTTAAAATATTCCTATCTGTGTTAATTGATTGGATGTTTGTATAATTGATACAAATTAAAAAGATAATCAGAATATTTTACTCTTTTTATCCCTGTAATATGTTTTGGGAAAATGACAAAAAAAGGACTATTGAAATTTAAAATGACAAAATAGGCATGCAAATAACTGAAATGACCAAATGGGCATGAGGTATCAATATGGAATTTTGTCAATTCGGTAGAAAGAATAAAATGCCCCTGAACCTCTCTGAAGATATGAATTGAAAGAAAACACATAATATACCAGAAGAGAGAGAGAGAGTTGAGAAGACAAAGCTGGAGCAAGAGTCAAAATCTGGAAAGAGGAAAAAGGTAAGCAATTTTTCTGTTAAATTGCTAGTATTGCCTGATTTCTTGACTCGCTTTGTTGCTGCATGCTTGAATGGGGATGGGCTTGTGAGTTTAGAGGGTTTAGATGAAGAATTTGACCAGGATGAGAGAGTGACGCGTCGGAAATGGAAAAATGGTGGCAAACAGTAAGCATGAAGTGGTCAGTGTTGTTAAATTCATTAGTGAAATTGTAAAATCCAATATTTAAGTTGTCAATAGAGTAAGTGGGTGTGTGTGTTTTTTGGGTGTTTTGAAAGATAAATGAAATTGATTATTGGGAAACTAAAATATTGATTTATGCTTCTTTGTTGCAGGTTAGCAAGCTTTGATGACATCTAACACTGGGTCTAACATTGAGGAGTAATTTTTTTTGCGTGAATAGAATAACTTTTGAACCCTTAATTTTTTTTGGGAGAATAGTTGATAGGTAAGTTATCCTTTTTGTAAATAATGTTAACTGGGTAGGATACGTTTTGTAATCTGAATGATAAAAAAACATTAGGTGGTGGTTTAATATTAATGTTAACTTGTCATTTGAATATAAGTTATGTAACTTCTGTCATAGGCATATTGGTTTTTGGTAAGTATTATCACTTCAGTAGTTAATTCCATTATACATGTAGTAAAGTTTGAATGTTATTGTAAACATATTATGATGTTCTTCAGGTGTACTTGCATGCTATTTTGTCAACACATTTTACCATTTGCTTAATTCCTCCAAGGGAATGGTGAAAGTTGCCAATGGGCATGACCGGAGTGGTTAATTTGATTACAAATGTTGTTATTCACATTACAAATGTTGTTATTATCATTATCGGGGTAGTGAGTGGCTATGGCATGTCATCTTACAAGCATGTGTGTGTGTTCATTGTTGCTGGGGCTATTGATGCTTGAGGTTGCAGGATTCAAGTTTTGGAAATTTAGAAGCTGATATAATGGTGTTCAGAGACTATTTAATAAATCTGAATTATATATTACCATGTTCTGAAAGTGGAAATAATTTACAGATTATATATTACTGCTAGTTGAAATGTTTTGAAGGTTAAAAGCTGATTCAATACTTGTAAAATATTTGTATATATATGAGTATGTGGGTTATTGATTGTGAATTGATGCTTGTGGAATTAAAGTATCGAGGCATAAAACTGATTTTCCTTTCTTTTTTTTTTTAAATCTGCTGGTTTGAGGATTGAAGAGCTAGAGATTAAAAACTGATTTGGACATAATGATTTATGTCTCTAAGTGCTGAATTATGATTGTGTTGTTTGAATCAGATTGTTTTATAGCCTGTGAGCTCAAAGTAGAAGCTGAAAAATCAGTTTCAAGTTACTGAATTATGCATTCATGTGGTGGCTAGTGAATCATGACCTTAATTCAAGACGTGACGAAGCATTGAGTTTATTTTCATCAAATGAAGCCATCACACTGACCAAAAGATAGCATCTATGATAGTAGTAAAGATTACGTAAATTAAACATATAATACTTGTGAAAGTAGTGTCCAGATATTATCAAAATACTTGACTTATGGTTGTAAATTGTAAGTTATGATATTTGTTGGCTTAATTTAAATATTTTTTGGGATAATTTCACTAAACAAGTAATTATAATTACAGCATGCATAATGAAAGTTGTAACTTCTGTCATGGCATTTGCAACTCAATTATTTGTACCCTAAATTACATCTCCTTGGACCCAAATTTCACTACACACGTAATGGGATTAACAACATTCATAATGAAAGTGACCACTTTCGTATTTCCATTTGCAACTCGTTTATTTCAAACCCAAGTAACATGTATTTGGAGCCAATTTCACTACTCCGATAATGATAATGACAACATTTGTAATATAAATTACAATTTTTGTAATGAGAGTTATCATCTTGCTATTGTCATTTGTAACTCGTTTATTTCAAATCCAAGTAATATGTATTTGGAGCTAATTTCACTATTCTGATAATGATAATGACAACATTTGTAATGTGAATTACAACTTTTGTAATGAGAGTTATGATTTCGCTATTGCCATTTGTAATTGGTTAATGTGAAATGAACTTAACATGTATTTGGAGCCAATTTCACTACCCTGATAATGATAATGACAACATTTGTAATGTGAATTACAACTTTTGTACTAAGAGTTACTATCTCGCTATTGCCATTTGTAACTCATTTCTTTTAAATCCAAGTAACATCTATTTTCAGCCAATTTTACTACCACGATAATGATAATAACAACATTTGTAATGTGAATAACAGCATTTGTAATCAAATTAACCATTCTGGTCATGCCCATTGGCAACTTCCACCATCTCCCTTGGAGGAATTAAGCAAATGGTAAAATGTGTTGACAAAATAGCATACAAATACACCTGAAGAACATCATAATATGTTTACATTAACATTCAGACTTTACTACGTGTATAATGGAATTGACTACTGAAGTGATAATATTTACTAAAAACCAGTACGCCTATGACAGAAGTTATATAACTTATATTCAAATGACAAGTTAACATTAAGATTAAACCACCACCTAATGTTTCCTTGTCATTCAGATTACAAAACATATCTTACCCAGTTAACATCATTTACAAAAAGGATAACCTACCTATCAACTATTCTCCCAAAAAAATTAAGAGTTCAAAAGTTATTCTATTCACGCAAAAAAAATTACTCCTCAATGTTAGACCCAGTGTTAGATGTTATCAAAGCTTGCTAATTTGCAACAAAGAAGCATAAATCAATATTTTAGTTTCCCAATAATCAATTTCATTTATCTTTCGAAACACCCAAAAAACACACACACCCACTTACTCCATTGGCAACTTAAATATAGGATTTTACAATTTCACTAATGAATTTAACAATACTGACCACTTCATGCTTACTGTTTGCCACCATTTTTTCATTTCCGACGTGTCACTCTCTTATCCTGGTCAAATTCTTCATTTAAACCCTCTACACTCACAAGCCCATCCCCATTCGAGCATGCAGCAACAAAGCAAGTCAAGAAATCAGGCGATACTAGCATTTTAACGGAAAAATTACTTACCTTTTTCTTCTTTCCAGATTTTGACTCTTGCTCCAGTTTCGTTTTCTCAACTTTCTCTTTTTTGGTATATTATGTGTTTTCTTTCAGTTTATATCTTCAGAGAGATTCAGGGGCATTTTAGTCTTTTACCGAATTGACAAAATTCCATAGTGATATCTCATGCTTATTTAGTCATTTTAATTATTTACATGCCCATTTTTTTATTTTAAATTTCAACCGTCTTTTTTTTTGTTGTTGTCATTTTCCCATATGTTTTTCATTAGATCATAGTAATACTTGATAGGCATACTTTGTTAGTCCAATGGTCTTGGTCTGCATGATCCCTGCTTCGTTGAGAGGGGAAGAGAGAGATTACCGAACTACATTTTCTCTCTTCTTCGATCGTCCCCGTCCCAACTGAGGGAACTGAAACCTTGTCATCGATTCCTCCCTCCCACGCACAGGGAAGCCTCTTGAATTCCATGGCGGAATTCCTCGATTTAGAAGCACAGGATGGCGTTCGAATGCCCTGGAATGTGATCCCAGGCACTAAGCAAGAAGCCATCAACTGCGTTGTCCCTGTCTCCGCCATCTACACTCCGATCAAGCATTTCCCCAATATGCCCGTACTCCCTTACTCTCCCTTGCGTTGCCGAACCTGCCGCGCCATCCTCAATCCCTTTTGCATCGTCGATTTCGCTGCCAAGATCTGGATTTGCCCGTTTTGCTTTCAGCGCAATCACTTTCCTCCTCACTATGCTTCTATCTCTGATGAAAACCTTCCCGCTGAACTCTTCCCTCAGTATACTACGATCGAGTATGAGACTCCCGGGGAAGTGGCTTCTATTCCACCCGTTTTCATGTTTGTTGTTGATACATGCATAATTGAGGAGGAAATGGCATTTTTGAAGTCGGCTTTGTCACAGGCGATTGAGCTGTTACCTGATAATTCGCTTGTTGGTTTGATCACTTTTGGGACTTTTGTTCATGTTCATGAGTTGGGTTTCGGTCAAGTTCCCAAGACATATGTTTTTAGAGGTTCTAAGGACGTGACTAAAGACCAGCTTCTTGAGCAGATGAGTTTCTTTGCTAGGAAGCCGAAACCAAGCGCTGGGGTTATTGCTGGTGCTAGGGATGGGCTGTCTTCTGAAAGCATTGCCCGATTCTTGTTGCCTGCATCTGAATGTGAATTCACTTTCAATTCGGTACTTACCATTTCGAAATATCTGTGTTTGAGACGTTCAGAGGAATTAGTTGGGATGGGATTACTTGCCTGCAAAAGTGAAATACGGTAATTTTATGTTGTTTCTGTTGTGTTTGGTTCTATAATTTGATTTTTGTTTCTTTAATTAACAGGTTTTGGAGGAGTTGCAGAAAGATCCTTGGGCAGTACCTGCTGATCAGCGTCCAACCAGGTGCACAAGCACAGCACTCAGCATCGCAGCCAGTTTGTTGGGGGCATGTGTACCTGGTTCAGGGGCCAGAATTATGGCTTTTGTTGGTGGGCCAGCAACTGAAGGACCTGCTTCTGTAAGGATAACTGATCATGGTCATCTAAGATTGAGTGGAAAATTACTGCGTCAGTAGTCAAGCCTAAGATGCTATTTTATTGATTGAATGACAATCTTTTAGTAGTAGGTATTAGGATAAAGATATATATAGCATATGGTAGCATTTGGTTGGTAAACTGGCATTTCACTTTATTACGCATGGTATCATGGAGTTTACGATGTGTTTGGCATGCTTGCACCAGAGAATGTGGAGTACCTGCATTCGGCTTTTGTTGTTGTTTTTTTATTGTTATTTTTTGATGGACATTATTATTACTATTGTTGTTGTTTGCAAACATTTAGGTCTTGAATGTCAGGTTTTTCACGCCACATATTAGTATGAAAATATTGAAACAGTGATAACATTGCTGTGTTTATTGAACTCGGGAGAAGAGTGCATATACTACTTGGCCAGAGTGTGGGTATGACCGAGAGAGATGAATCTAGGGTAAATCTAGGTTAAATCTAATTAACATAAAATAAATGTAAATACTGAAACAATATAACAGAAGGAAAGCAATAATAATCATAGCAGAACAAATAAGATAAGTAATCATAGTAGGACAAATAGGATAACTGATGAGATAAGTGAAACACAGTCGTTGGCCTGGACCTCAGGGCTGCCAACAAGCTCCTGTACAAAATGACCGGGCAATTAAAGAAGGGTCAGATGATTACCCTGCCTCAAGATTTTGGATTCAGTCAAGGCTCGGTGAATGTGGTAGTAATTTTTGGTACCTCCAGTTTACAATTTCCTGGTTGAACTTCACAAATGTTTGAACCTTATGAGGCCCCATTGAAGTTGAAGCATTAAAACGTCCTTTGTTGGTTTCATATTTGATGCCCTGAAATATAAAAACTCTTAAGATTGTATATTTAGTTTGGATTTTTGTACTATAGTATACTTACATAAGTATGATTTTTCATCACATTTGACCAATTACTGAAGCTTATCTGATTCTATCTATATTTACAGATTGTGTCAAAAAGTTTATCTGAACCTCTTCGCTCCCACAAGGACCTGGATAAAGATTCTGTGCCACATTACCATAAATGTGTAAAATTCTACGAGGGGCTTTCAAAACAGCTTGTACATCAAGGTCATGTACTAGATCTCTTTGCTTGTGCTCTTGATCAGGTAATGATTTTGTTTTATGGAAGATTTTTCCTTCTTGTACTTGGCATTCTTGGTGTTTTCAGTCAATAGATGACACATGATTGCCTTTGCCTTCAGCCTAAAACTCTTCTCTGCTCTTGTTTAGTCAGATACAGAATATTCAAAATTTAAGTGACTCTAACTACATCTGGTTTTATTCATTGTTGACTTCTTTATCTTATGTTTTGATATATACTTTTCAGTGCAGTGTGCGCTAAAGTTGAAATTTATTTTCTGTAGCTATTCTAGTATAAGAAGAATTTAGTACACATTTATCATATGATGTTGTGGTAACTTCAGCTTTGGCCTTGCTTGGTGAGCCACATATGATGAAGACTGATACTATGGGTAGCATTGGATGGATTGAATAAGCTATTAATTGTATAAATGTTTGTGCTGTCTAGGGGTTGTTATATCAACATGTAATGTGTTATAGTTGTTATGTGAATGCTGACAAGATGGAAGTAATATCTTACCCTGTATGAATTAAAAATTGAGGGAAACTAGTATTTATCCCTTTGAACTTAGGTCTGATTACAAAATTGGCAATGGCCAGAGCAACGGGCGGGTTGGGCAGCCCGGCCCCAAACCCGCAGCCCGCCCGTTTATGCATTAATGGGTACGGGGTGGCCCGTACCCGTACATAACCCGTTTAAGCCCGTCCCTAAACGGGCTGGGTTAAGTGGGCGGGCTTAAACGGGTTATGGGGAACCCGTTTAACAATTAGGTGCTGTTCAGGGGCTGTTCGCATTCAAAAATCAAAATAGATGAAAATTATAATACCATTAATCAAAATCTAAACTCCATAGTCCATACAATCAGAAACCATCACAAATTTCTAATGTTCAAGGGTTCAAGCTTCAAAAGAGGACAACCACAAATATAAAATTGTAAAGGATTAATCATCATCAAATCATCATCAATCACTCATCATCATCATCACCACCATAATCATGAGCTTCTTCTTCAGAGTTACTTGAGGAAGTGGCTGTACTTGGAACCAATGACTCTTGCTCTACAAAACAAATTAAAAAAAATCAATTCATTAATATTTAATAACAAGATAAAACAATATAAATTGAAAATATTGTTGAAGGTTAAAATACCAGTAACGACATTTGCACTCTCAATAAAATTATCTAGTTCAAGGTCATTGAGTCTTGGAGTACTACTGCATAGCCAATTTTGAGCACATATGAGTGCCTCAACCATCTTTACAGATAAAGAGCTCTTGAAATTATCCAGTATTCGACCCCCAGTACTGAAAACTGATTCAGAAGATACTGTAGAGACTGGTGCAGCCAACAAGTCACGTGCCATTACACTCAAAACTCTATACTTGGGAGCATTCACTTTCCACCATGCCAAGACATCAAATTTTGGATCACAAAAACCACCTAAATCTGCTTGAAGGTATTCATCTACTTCAGAAATTTTCTTTGCATTAACAACGGTGTCTGCAGTGGCCAGGAACTTTTGAAATGTAGAATCAGTATCATCATGAAATAACATGTCAATGTCATCATCCCCAGTTCCAACACTATCATGGACTTGCTGTTGATCCGCTGTTGATCGAGATTTAGATGTTTCACCATGATCAAGCTCAACAACACTAGTAAAATAGTGATCATACAATTGATACAAGACATCCATAGTCTTTTTCAACATGGCTTCTCGCTTTGTAGGTTCAGGAAAAATGTCTTCAAAAGCAATCTTGATATATGTCATCTTGAATCTAGGATCAAGGATCACTGCTATGATCAACAACGGATTCATTTTTTCTGCTTTTCCCCAGTACTTATCATACTTTGTCTGCATTCTCCTTGCCATGTCACTCAAGAGAGAGTACTCACTTGCTGCACTTCGATGAAGGTGAGTCTGAATTGCAACTATATGCTGAAAGCATGTACTTGTTGTTACAAAATTTGATCCAGAAAATTTGAGGGTCTTAGTGTAGAACAACCTCAAAAACACAAGAAACTCTTTAGCCACACTCCAATCATATGCAGTAGGTGGTTCAGCTGTGGCCCTTCCTAATGTTGTGTCAATGACATCAGCATCATCATCATCATTATCATAACTTAAGACAACACCCTGTTGGTTTGAAAACAGTTTAACCTTTTTCTTAAAGTAATTCTTGTAATCTTGATCTTCTTCTTCCATCCTATCAAAGACTTTGATGAACTTGACAGCATTTTCCAACATCAGATAAGTTGAATTCCACCTAATCACATGACAAATAAGAAATAAACAATTAAGAATTATCAAGTGAAAATAGACATAATATGAAAATAATACAATTATAGTGCAAATAATACCTCGTGGGGCAATCCAAAGTCAGCAAACTCTTCGAATCAATTTTTTCCTTTTCAACAAGCTCCTTGAACCTCTGTAGCCTAGCTGGAGAAGATCTAACAAATTTAATTGCATGCCGAATAAGTTCAATAGACTTATTCATTTCTTTTAGACCTTCACCAACAATCAGATTCAAAATATGAGCTGCACACCGCATTTGCAAAAACTCTCCATCACATATTAGACCATTCCAACTAAGGGTGGAAATAGGCCAGGCGGCCTGTCAGGGGCCTGTGGTCTGGCCTGGCCTGGCCTATTTAGATATTAGACCAGGCTCAGGCCTGTAAAAAGGCCTGTTTGCTTTATCAGGCCAGGCTCAGGCCTGACAGTAAGCCTGTGAGGCCTGTCAGGCGGCCTGGGCCTGTTATTTTTTTTTTTTATGTTAAAATTATAAATTGATAGGAGGGATTTTGTTATTCTAATTGGTTAATTGAGAAAACTCCATCCACATAAACGTGTTATCTAGAGCCTATTGCATGCGTTATTTCATTTCCATTCTCTATAATAAAAATAATTGATATATGTATAATGACACATATTTAAACAGAGAAAGAAAACATAAGTGCATTTAAAAAAAAAAGCATCATTCATTTATTTGATCCATGCTTATAGAATATATATATATATATAGAGAGAGAGAGAGAGAGAATTGACCTATTATGTTTTAGACCGTATATATGTGTGCTCAATCTAATTCTTATTATAATAGTTACTTAATTAATTTAAATAAATAAATAAATTATAATAACTGTAATTTTTTTTTAAAAAAAACAACCATGTGTAACAACAAGATCAAATATCATTTTGTTAGTAAATTAGTCTGAATAAATGATAAATTTAAAATATAAAAGGGATTAAGGATGTTTCATATTTTAAACTAGATCTAGTCATCAACTAATTTTTATACTAGAGATAGGATGAAGTGATATTTTTATATCAGAATGAAATTATGTTTTCTAATAATTTTTCATATTAGATTTTTTTTGGGCCTAAGGGGACATGTTTTGCAAATTGTATTAATTTGATAATTTCATATTTTTTGTTTGTATTTTAGATCAATTAGGTTGAATTATTATAATTTTGAATTGATTTATGTGTGTTTAAAATTTATTAAATAAACAGGCCTGGCTTGGCCTGGTTTGTTTCCACCCCTAATTCCAACTCTTCAACTGTTTCTTCAAATAGGCAATTGCAGTGTCATTAGAAGAAGCATTGTCAACTGTAATTGTGAAGACTTTTTCAATGCCCCAGCTGAATAAACAATCCTCAATTTGCTTGCCAATTGTATCCCCTTTGTGATTTTCAATGACACAGAAATTTAAAATCCTTTTTTGTAAAGTCCAATTCTCATCAATCCAATGTGCAGTCAAACACATATAGTTGGAGTTTTGTATTGAAGTCCAACAATCAGTGGTAAGGGACACACGGCATTTAGATCGCTTGAAATATCTTTTCAAACGTTTTGCTTCCTCCAAATAATTGGTAGCAATCCCTAGCAATTGTCCATCGTGAAGGTATCTGAAACCTAGGTTCAAACTCTTGCAAAAGTTCTTTTAGACCCTCCCCTTCCAAAACTCGAAAAGGCAATTCATCCTTTATGATGAACCTTGCAAGAGCCTTTCTACATCTTTCTTGGTTGAACAAGCGATACGATTGAGATGATTGACAAGACATAGCAGTCAACATGGTTTGTGACTTGCTTGCTTTGTTTGGATTCTTGGGACACTTCTCAAAATGCCGCCACAACTATTTTGTCCCAGTTTTAGTTGGATGACTTGCATAATCTATGCCACAATAATTACACTTCGCCCTATGTTTCCCTTTGGTTTGGGTTAATGGCAACCTTGTAAAATGATTCCAAATATCAGATGTTAGCCGTCTTTTCCTCTTCGTTGGTGGCGCTACTTCTTCAGCATCTTGTCTCTCATTATTATTTTTAGCATGTTGAACAACAGTACTTGGGTTTTCAGTTGGACCTTCCACACTTTCCTCTACAACAGTCTTAGCTTTGATATTGTCTTGCTGACTTTGTGCCATTCTTCAATTTCCTTCTCAATCCAAATCAAATTTAGCAACAATAATAATAGGAGAAATAAAAATAATAATACTTTCCCAATTTTTCCAAAACCAAACCAATTTTCAGTTTTTCACTTAAACATAATCAAACTCACTCATTATGAAATGAATATAGAACACAAAATCATCAACAAACAAAATTGCAAGAAGACCGATGTTTGTCAAAATGCACACACAGAGACCAAAAAGGAAATTGCAATATCAATTATATATTGCAAATGCGGTGTGCACACAAATTGTTTCAATAACAGACTAACAGTTATATATAACATCAGGATTATGCTTTATCTTGTTAATAACATCTAAAAGCTGATCAAATCCTTTGCCAGAGTAGTCCGCATGCATGTCAGTATAGTGAATATGGTAATACCCAGGTCAGGGAATTGTGCAGATGAGGCCAGATGAATATCTACATTTACATATAATATACAAAATCCAATAAAGCACGATGACTTGCTATGTAAAGTTTCGACATTTTTTAGTTGTGTATTTTCATCAAACAGCTTATGGGCGTGAACCAGGCTGAAACAACAATGCAAAACCCAACATGA